GAAATAAGGATAATACAAAAAATAATATAGCTAAACACCTTATGTGTTGTTACAAAGCTTATCTACTGAATTTTAAATGTTGGTTATGCATACTACACAATACAATTCAAATAGGGTGCGGCAAAAAAACCCTATCTATTTTCTGCAGCGCACGGTTCAGCGACGGATCGTCTGAGGGTTGTGGGGGTAGGCTTGTTGGAAAGCCTACACGATTCCATTATCTGTAGTCATAGAACAGTGGTCACCTGGGTAACTCACGTTTGTTATCGAGTCGTTTAAAAAAAGTAATGATTCAGTTATTTCAACTCAGCGGCATTTCCATGCATTCTTTAAATTAGGTCGACATGGAGAGGTTCCGTCGTAATTAGGTTCCCATTGGATAATTAACAAAATTAAACAGATAAATACAAATGAATATATAGGGATAAGAATTAAGATCGAACCTCAAAATCAGTGTAACCGAGCGGTCAGACATGTTCAAAGCAGATGCTTGTTTTCGGGTGGGCATACGAAAGTAGCACGAACTCTATCGAATGTTAGTTTTCTGGCGTCCGATCTGTTTTTTACGGCTTGTCAGCTTTTTCTTTAACTCAGAAGCCGTTGTTCTAAAGTTGGTAACCCGCCACACGATTGTGCTACTTGACGGAATCCACGTCACATTAATTAATAGAATGCACGGAACTGCCGCTGAGTTGCAATGACTGAATCATTATTTTTTAATTCGACTCGATAACAAACGCTCGATGCTTAGTGGACCACTTTTCTATGACCACAGAAAATGGCGTCGTGTGGACTTTTCAAAGAGCCTAACCCCACCACTCTCGTTGAACAGTGCGCTGCATGAAATAGATAGGATTTTTTGCCGCACCCTGTATTAACTTAGAATTTCGTGAGAAGGTAGTAACACAGAAAAAATAAATTTTTTATGAAAATAATATGCAGTCATAACTTGGAAGATATTTTTTTATGTAATAAAACCCAATTACAGAGAAACCCTAAGAAAATATTTTACCTTTTTAAACAGGTTTACCCATTTTTATTGGCGGATCCCAATTGACAAAACATAGACGATCATTGTGTCCGTATTTATCAGTCGAAAATAAAGTATGTGGAATGAAGTGAGATGATCTGGATCAGCTGTTTAGAGTCTGGGCCAATTAAAAAGTCCAGTGACCAAGGACAGATGTGCGCAGTTTCGAACCACCAAAAGCTACGGACTTTTCTCATTATTTAACCTAACTTTTATTTTTAGGTGACGACTATAAGCGTTCTAGCTACCCAACTATTGATCAAATATACCGAAAAGTTAAGTGAAACAGTATTTATTTAGTGAATTCGGTTTAAGTTATGAAAAGCCATACATGAGTTAAGCGTGACTATTAATAGTCTACAAAATAACTAAAATCACAATAATACAAATAGTTCTCTCGAAAATATTATTATCACGTAATCATATAGAATTATTTTTGGGTCAAATTTACTTCGCAAAATTGACTTAAAAGTTTCAGCAGAATAAACTCAGAAGATGAGTTTATCCAACAAAGCTCATATTAAATTACTGTTTACCTCTAAACTTTGGTTTATATTCTGTTTTCCAAATATCCTGCTAAACACGTTAATTTGATTGATAAAAAGGTTTAACTTAACCTGTTTATCACACAAATAAATCAAATGTTACATACACTGACTGGCGCAAAATTAATAATTAAAACTGCAATTTAAATTTCGTAAGGGTGTCTCCAAAGCAAGAACACTATTTTCGTTTTTGCTAAGTAACAAACATAATTTATATTTTCCTAATAAAAATATATCTATTTCCTACCACTGCATAGAAATGACAACATTGCCACATCTGTAAACAGTACGCAAAATAGCTCATTCCCGCTCTAGAGTGGGAATGGATAATATTTGCGTGCTAACCAGCTGATTTCACTGTTGACGTTTCTGCGCCAACCACAGCCGCGGATCCGTTACAACCGGTAAGCAAATAACATGATCTAAAAAAAAAAACGCGAACATAACCTAAATGACATTTCATATACATTAAAAAAGTTATGATAAGTTAATTATGGTGGTAGATAACTCTAGTGTGTATTACCAGCACAGTCATTGCCAATGACGTACTTTGCGCTCCTAATACAAAATATTTTATTTAAATGTTTTAGACGTATTTTGATTTACTTTCCGTAACAATTGTAATTGACAGGTTAGTGAATTTGGGCACCCCTGACTGGAGTTCATAATCCTTGGAAGATTGCTCAGCTACGATGGAACTCCTCCGAACATTGTTGTAGGTTTGATACTTAGGAAGTCCTAAAGGGAGTCCCACACCGGTCCAGTAGCTCTAGCGTAAATCAATTCCACTGCGCAAACAATTTGAGCAGTAAGCATAACTGATTCGTCCTCTTTCTTACAATCCATGCATAATAATAAATACAACTATTTCACAGGGCTAATATTTAGATTCATTTTTATCTAAGTAATCTTTTATCATTGGGCAATTTTGTTTTAGAACAATCAGTTGCAGCCTAGTTCTAATGAAAAGATAAATATATGGTACAACTTTCATGAGATAATAAGAAAAAAAAAATAAATAAGTGTGTATTTCAGATTTTGTTATTTTATAAGTGGAAACAATAAAACTGTTGCAATACAACAAGAAAATTTCTTTTAAAGCTTATTGTTTGCCATTTTGGTGCTCTTTGCCTCTTCGTTTATATTAAATCCAAAGTAAACGCTCATGTTAGCTTTTTAATTGTTGTATGAATCAGCTTAGCTCGTCATGCCCCTGATGTATTAAACCATCTACAGTTGTTATCTTTTGTGATTCTTCTTCCCAAGCTAATGTTTTTTGACTTAAATGTTAACTTGTTTAGTACCTTTCCTTAAATGTATATTTAAATGATTGAACACTTTAGGCTATCGTGTCATACACACATGGAAATATTATGCTTAGCTTTGAGTGTAGCTTTATTTTGTGTTTTGGAATAACGGTTAACAAAAAAGTGAAAACGGGAATTCTAATGTGTGTTTATTACTAAGAGATGCGTTATAACGAAACAAAGTTAATTTAATTCATCTAGATATCTGAGTGTGAGATAGTGCTCACATTCTAATCTAAAGGCTAATAGTTCAATTCCAAGCGATGTTTGTCATTTGGTTATTAATTAATATCCAACATATCTAACAAAAGGTCGGGTTTATATGGTTATAATACAATGATTTGTAACATTCTTCAACAATTCACTTGTTTCTCAACAAATGGAAATGACGTGGGAAAAACAATCATAAAATATAATAATATTATTTTGTTTCGAATAAAAATAAAATAATATGTCTGTATATAACTCAGCTGGATCATAAAATGATTGTTACAAACATGAGACGACTTCAAGATCTTTTACTACAAAACATGTAACAAAAGACTATCGCTCGCCACTTCATGAACAAAAGACGACAGCTGCGGAGTGAAGAGGGAAATAAAATAGTTTGTTTCGAAAAGAATATAAATGATAGGATAGTTTTCTATTCGTTCCCATTAAAATGTCGAAACGATTGTTCATATATTTGATTATTAAACATGGTGTGTTTTTAACATAAAATCCAGCTATTTTGTACATAATACCTTAATATCGCATTTATCAAACCGTATGCGTACGAAACCTTTGACAGATGAATAATTTACCTTTTTGGCACATCAAAATATCATGCGTTTATTTTTGAAAATACAAACAACGTGTTAACTTTTTTTTAAATTTATATCATACAGACAGAGGGAAAAGCCTATTTTCATAAAAAAGTCCAAGAACTGCAAAATGGGCTGTTGAACCAAAGTGCTTGCTGCTGAGAATTATTATAGTAACTATAAACAATTCTGAAACCTATAATGGTTGGAGTAAAGATGGAGGTAAAAAAGTATATTTTTATTTTTAAAAAGGCACCGAGATGTTTGATATGCAAGAAACCTTCTCACTCTTTACATGCTATATTGCATATACACATGGGAGCGTAGTTTTAATAAAACCCCGATCTTTAACTTTATATTAAGTTAGTTATGAGTTGGATGGCTGTTAAGAGATGACAAGATTAAACCCAAAGTACTGAACCTTTTATTGTTCCAAAGTAATTAACTATTACTATTGACGCACAAACCCACCAACGAATGGCTAATTGAAAACGTCCTGGAAGCAGCTAGCACTCTGAATATAATATCCCCAAAAATAAGTCTACTCGAACGTACTGTATTACCAATCAAATATCTAAACCAATTGAAATCCCGTTATTAAAATTCACAAATCACACAACTCCCTCTTTATTTCTAAATCCCCATTCAAATAGAACTTCCGCTTTTAAAACTCCCGGCTAAAGAGCCTATCCCTAAGATAGAGGTAACCAGTACTCACCCAACACTTCTCGGCACCCTGCCCTGGCCGATTGACCCCTTTCCCTACCACATGTGGCCTATTTATTGAACCCAATAGCTACTGAGTGCAAAGCCCTCAATGTTTACTTAAAAATTTCCAGACGCTTCCTGGCTAGCAAGGTCGGACCACAGGTCATCAACACAGGTTGCCTAGGTACCTTAATTAAAGATGTAAGATAGCTACAGAGAGCGACGGTTGCTTATGGGAGAAACGTGCGCTTTCAGTTCTAGTATGTTGTGCGGGAATACTATATTTGTTAGAGCCCAAGCGGAGAGCACTGTGCGGAAATTCCTACCAAACAGGGCACAGGGTCTTCCTCCACCGTGAGCGTTGTAGTACATGATGGCGAGGGGTGTGGTGTTGGACTTTTGCCCTAGACACCAGCACTAGTGCTAGACACCATTGAATGTTTCCTCTGCACCCAAGTTCTCTGTGAAAGGACTACACAATGGACTGTTAAAAAAGCGGTTGGTGATGATATTCAATTATAGTAATCATTGAATAACCTATAAACAGTTTTGAGTCTAAGTAATACCAACGATTCAATCCAACACAATGTATCTTGTATTGTTTCAGTCGTGGTACGACTATAAGCTGCGTTGGGAACCCAAAGAATACGGGGGAGTCCAGATGCTTCATGTGCCTTCAGATCACATCTGGCGCCCTGACATAGTGCTTTACAACAAGTGAGTTATAATTTATCAATCGATTATATTTAAACTATAGTACTACTATTCAGTAATTAAATTATGTTGGAGTAATGGACTTGTTTTTATTATGCTAAATGTAACTTAAAAGTAAAAAATTATTTTTGCCAATAATTATTTCAAATAGTGTGAGTTTTTCTGTGAAGAAACATCCACTTACTTAGTGTACTTAACACAATGAGAATGGACCATTTACTGCTAACACAGTTACTCAAGAGAAAGTTAAGCTTCGTAGCATTATAAAGCCAACAAAGCCTGATGGTTATAGTTATTTAACTAATACATCCTGACCTATCAACAACATAGAAACTTAAGCCAAGCACAGAAAACAAAATAACGATTAATAAGTTAAAAAACAGTCGTTGGATACATTCTCAAAAACTTCCATTTTTACCTAAATAAAAAAGACGTAAAATTTGAGTTTGTTTGTTGTTTTATACTTATGCTATAAAGTAATAAAAAAAAGTTAAGTGATTTTATGAGTGTTTCAAGCAATTATTTGCTTTTGAACTTTATATTTACTATCACCAAGTATAAATTTCTATCAATCAAACTGGGTAAGAAAGTGTGTCAACAATGATTTTACGCAATACTCACTTGTTAAAACTACAATTTTAGGGACGATATTTGGAATACCTCTATGAATTGAATATTGAACCCGATCTTTCAGAGATGCTATAAGATCAATGAGAGTACTTTGATTTTATTCTCATGCAGAAAATCCTATTGCCCCAGAATACTTATGACAGTTTTAAGCCAAACACTCCAACCCATAGACCAAGAAATATTTTTTTCTTACAAACTACATGACATTCGTGTGCAAGAAGCATAACCAATAAAGAATCACAGCAGTAGGATACTGAACGGTCTATTTATAAGACAGCATTGTGAAGAAGATCCGGCATGTAACTGAATGTAGCATAGTATCAACATTTGAAAGATTAGCCCCTTTATTCTTGAGCATTGAAAGGGGCTGTAATTTAGGATATATTTGGTATTTCCCTTGGCATCCCTTTAAGGGGGAGTCTCTCTGATGGCCTAAGTCTTAGCAGGTTCGCTGCAAATGCCTCTGGAAGATCAGATTACAAAAAAAGTAAATCCCTCTTTATCATGGACCACCATTTCCTCATTGAAGATAAGGCTAATTTCTAGATAAATCACGTATCCATAACAACTCTCACTGCACCCCCATGAAACCACCAAGACCAATCACCAAGAACTTTGACAATTCTTATACAATAAGATGGTCTCCCCTGAAAACCCTCTCGTTTGTTGTAAGTGGTATCAATGATTCAATCCACCGACAATAATGTAGTTTTTAAAATGTCCCCCTTTAAAAAAATTGCATTACCTTCTTAAATGTGGTTATAAAAGCTGGTTGTTTCAGAAAACCTTTAGGTACCGAAATGAGATTAGACCAATTGTGTCTCTTTTTAAAACGAGGCTTGTCAGACGCAACCAAGAGCCATGCACTCTCTCATCCGCGTTCATAATCCCCGGTCATATTTCTCGGGCTTCTGCCTGGGTCACCTTTAACCCCCGCTCTAAACACCACAAGACAAAAAAAAATAAACTGCTCACTTTCACACACGTTAAAAAACCTTTATCAAACTAAGTTGTCTGTACTGAAGGCATTCATCTAACAACGTTCAAGCAGCATAATACGTTCCTCTTACCACTAGCATACCCAGCATACATTCATTTATCCTTTATAAAGGGTCCAATAACTTCCCTATATGTAGCTGTGGTTGGTCAATGCACAAACATTTTTTGATTAATCGATCATTCAGAAATAAAATGTTAACAAATTTTGGTTTTTTTCAACCTAATGCAGAAGGACGAGGTGTACCTAATGAAAACTGACGTTTTAAATTCAGCGGTTTTAAATATAGAGGCAAATCTGAAATAAATTAGCAGCAAAGAAACATTCACAATAAGTTTAAAAAAGAGTTTGGTACATCAGAGAGACGTCACGATGGTTGAGGTTACTCTATCACGCACAAGTCATTGTGACCGATGTGATATTTTTATTTCTTAATGTATTGCTGCAAAATAATGTGTATAAATAAAGAATTTCTCTCTCTCTCTCTCTCTGAAACAGTCCTTTTACTTTTACCAACAACGTTTTTGAGGTCGAAAACTGATTCTCCATTATTTGATGCGTGGCCTGAAAAGGTGCATTCCGGGACTTCAGAGAGCTACAGTTGATAAGAAGCCCTGCAAGATAAAATTCTTGAGCACTTAACATTTCTCTAAATTGCCTTTTTCGTGCTTCTTCAAGTTTGGTCTCAGAAGGTGGTCGTAACACCTATTGGTGACAGCTCACATGGGTTGTTCTAGACCATTCTCTTCAGACTTTTAAGAAGGAGAAATATGACTTAGCACTGGGAGTTGGAGGAAAGGTGTAGGAATTAAGGAACAAGATACATAACACAAGATGTCGTGAACAAGGTGATGTTCTCTTTACCATTTAAGCTGTATCATCACAATATTGGTGCGCCTATTGTTAAAACTCCCCTGTACAGAAGGTACAGGCTGATGTACATAGAACAGCGTTGGTTCTTCTAGAAAAACTAGCTAGGTGTAATTATATATTTTAGAGAATGAATAACTGTTTCTTTTAGATGGGAAATCTTTTGGTAGATTCAGCCTTCCTTTAAACCATGAGTTACTAACTCAACTTTATAGCTTATCATGTAGCGGACGTCATTGTGTAGTAATTTTCCTTTATTAGTTCAACCTTAATTGGCATGTATCAACAAAGTAATATGCTGTAACGTAAAATTCTGATTGAATCATGTATAAAGCGTTAGTTTTAACGGTGAAATTATACTTTACTGAAAAACTCTCCTTTTTCTCAGTAGAACGCATGATTACTCAGGAATTATTAAAAATCCCTTCGCTTAAATTTCTGCATGCCTTGAACACATTAAAGATATCACTAAAGCAATTTTCCTATAGAACAACAATATATTCAACAATGTAAACAATAACGTAAATATATATATGTTAGCAATCATGAGATTACACGACCACGCCTGTTGGACAATATTTGGGGTTGAACGTTATTAAAATTATAAGAATTTTGGAAAATTTTCATCGATGGGATTTATTTGTGTAAAATTATGCCGGAAATCACGTATATAATTTTTGTTACAAGGAATACTCTGTTCATAGTAAATAGTATGACTTGATCCCTTCCCTGAATTCCTCTCCCAACACCCCAATAACAACTCGCATGTTACAGCGCGGACGGCAACTTTGAAGTAACCCTTGCTACCAAGGCGACAATATACTACCAAGGCCTTGTGGAATGGAAGCCACCCGCCATTTACAAATCGTCTTGTGAGATTGACGTAGAGTATTTTCCATTTGATGAACAGACATGTGTTCTCAAATTTGGTAGCTGGACGTACGACGGTTTCAAGGTAAGTTGGCCTCGAAAAAGAGGACCGAGTAGAACGAGAAAACAAGGGTTGCCGTCTCAGCAAACGAGTAAAAGTAGCTAAAGTAAGAGCAGTACGCGTAAAGAGTTTAAACGAGTACATACAAGCTCTTTGTTTGGACACAGACATCGTAGTTTCCCCACCCTTGTTTCTTGTTCTACGATTGTGTTAAGTTTGTATTTTAAGGATTTTCTTCCTAAGCTTGCTCTTCCCAAGCACATTATAAGGACGAGGAAAACGTTTTATTTATATTTTTTATAAATAATCCAAAATATACTGTATTTAATAACATATTATATTTTTAAATGAAACAACAAGCTTTCGTTATTTTATGCGTAAACCCTGTGAATAGGCAAGGTGGTATGAATATGTATCAAGTACAAACTTTGAAATCTAATTTTCGTGTTTACACATTAAAGCGGGAAGAAAGTTTTTATTATGCATATGAACGAATAATTTTGTAAATTTACATGTTATGTTGTGCCATCATTAAATAAAACATAAAAGGAAAATATTTTACGATTATTTAATCTAAGATTTTGTATTTATTTATAATACAACACTTTTATACTTAAAATAATAATAGTAAAGTTATAAAAACGTCTTTTATTTAGTACCAAATTAATCATAGTTTACATATTTTGAAAATCAGTAAATTGAAGTGTTTACAATGCATGTACTATTAAATATATTCTTTTTTGTAAACAGCGTATGAAAACAAACATCACGAGGGAACGCGTTTCTTGAGGTTATGTACGAAAAAAACATAATAATTTCATTTTATACGGATTATTTTCAACTTATTATTTCACAACTGTTAAAATTTATAATAAACGAAAAATACGATTAATCTAATGCAACAAACACAAAGAAGTATTCTTTTACTAAAATAAATTAAGTAAACAAGAGGAAAACACAAATTTATAAATACTTGCAAAATTCATTTATACCCTAAATCAAGACAATATCAATTCAACAATGCAAGTAATAGTTTGTGAAAATAAGGTTCCCCAGAATGTTAAGAATGTTACTTGTAACTGTTCACACCACCGGCTTTTCAATCATCCTTGGAAGTGCTGGGACGAGCAACTGATCGGAGAGGGTTAAATGTTTTTTGGTGTCACAGTTAAATTGCAGTGTATGTTCACAGTGCAGACGGAAACTACGAAGTTACTCTGATGACCAAGGCAACAGTCTACTACACAGGGCTGGTCGTTTGGCAGCCCCCAGCCGTCTATAAGTCTTCCTGTGCAATCGACGTGGAATACTTTCCATATGACGTTCAGACCTGTGTATTGAAACTAGGGAGTTGGACTTATGACGGGTTTAAGGTGAAATGCTGCGACAGTTTCCCCCTCCTCTCCTCACCTTGGTCAAACGATCACCCGATCACGTAACGATCACCCGAACACCGATCACCGCACCTCCTGTAACTATCATACAGTAGGATGTTCTGTGCCAGCTATTATCAGTAAAATGTAAGGTTATGACTTGGGGAAACTCGGAACGGTTTAAGTGGTTGAGTTTATTCTTTTTTGCAAACTGCGGTATTGAGCTATATACAGGGTGTCCCACGAAGGGGTTTAATCATTTGATTCAATATTACTACGTTATATGTATTCAATTCAATTCAATTTATTTATTCAGACAAAATAAACATTACATATACTTTTTACGTGAAATAATCTGAAATTATTAACACATAAGTACGTTTTAAAGATATTCTGAAAGAATTTCACCTCCCTAACCATTTTAAAAACAAAATGGTGGTATATTAAAAAATGATACTTTAAGCACATTATAAATAGTGTTTTTGGTTTTGTAAAATATTTGTATTATCACATCCTAGGGAAAGACTTTATCATGAAGAAATAAATGAAAACCCTTAAATTAGAGCCTAAATTTCTAAACCGTGATCCATCACTAGTTAATAAATAATAATAAATAAAGTAGTTTAGTATAATTATTTAATAAAAACATTCCATATGCCACCACTTTGTTTCTACGAGGGGAGCTGAAATTTTCCCAGAATATTTTTAAAACATACTTTACACATTGTTTAAAGTTTCAAAATATTCTGTCTATAAATGGGCAAAAAATATAAAATCAAACGTTTAAACCTCTTCGTGGGACACCCTGTACATATTTTTATATTTTTATAGTATCTGCCAGCAACAGTTGGTTAGCTTCGTTGTGGGTTTTTACATAAGGCAAATATGTTTTACATATGCCATGTACAAGTTTATTACTGTTATTGCTATAGGGCTATCACGAGAAAATATCAAGTTACCATATTGAACAGCAACTGACTGCTCGTTCGTTGGACAATATATGTTCTTGCGCGTGGCTTCTCTTAACCATATCGTGTGTAAAATGTATAACAAGTGTAAACAAACCATTACCGAAGCTACTCAAGTGGATTTAGAATTCTTTCAGGACTGAGATGTTTGAAAATGTCATTCTGCCAAAACATTTAACGCTCTAAATGATACGATTAGAACTGCTGAAGGGTTTGGTAAATTACTTTACATCGTATATAACTATTAAATATATACACGCGGTTGGTTCTATAATCAAATCCAAGGAAATTCTTCTGACTTTATACAGATGTTTCTACAACTCTGATAATTCATGTAGATCTTCCGGTTTGAAATCATTAAATAGCTTCTTTATTCCACCTTTCTAACTATGTTAGTAAATGAGACGATGAATTGTAAAAATCAGCCAAGAAACTTTAAATTATCTTTATAAAATATATACACCAACAAAATGTAGGTTTGCATATTAGTTAATGAAAACGTTACTATAAGAATTCGCACCCTTACTTCTACATAGGCTGTGCCCTAAATACAGGCTTTTACTTATTTTTTACAGTTTATTTTATTTTATTTTATTGTTTGATTTCTGGTGTAACACATTAAGGAAACTATTTAAAGGTGACTTGTTCAATAAAACGATTGTAAAACTATCCTCAAAAAACTAAGACCTAATTTAAGAGTTTGAACCACAATAACAATGGAATGTCGTAAAATGAATTCATAATACTGTAAATCCATCTTTGGTTAATTTATAGTAATATTGTAACAATTGCAAAGGTTTATGGGATACAAGGGTTGATGATCTTTAGAAGGGTCTAAAGACCAGTAAACAAAGTTCCATACAATACAGATGAACGAAAATTGTTTTATTGCAAAGAATAAGCAATAAGCAATGGAAACAGAACAGCAAATGTAATTGTCACTTTGTGAAATGCCGCAGTAGCAGGGGTGGTGCATCCCGGGAACCAGATACTGTAGAGCAGGGGTCCATTTGTCCAGAAATCACTTAATTTCGTCCAGTGCAGCGCCAGACATAAACTAAATTATGATCCGTTCCACTTAAACTCACAAAATATTCTACTCTTGAAAAGATTAAAGATGGGAGGTTTTCCTTGTGTTTCTAAATAATTCACTGATAAAAACAAAACAGTTTAATTTTTTTAAAAACTACACTCTTAGAAATTCAAATAAAATGCAACCTAAGAAAATATAAGAAACAAATTAAAGAAAATTTGGATTTAAGTATATGAAGCCGTAGACATATTAATTTTTTAATATGCTTACAGAACAGTCTGCTTTTTAGTACTGTTTTCAAATTGATACAATTAAGATTTAAATTAGTAAAATTTTATGTATCCTAGTTTCTTAGCGTGAACAACTATAGTACATTTTTAATACAATCAATCGTGAAGACGTTATGAAAAAGGATGAGGCATATAACAAATTGTTGGGCTATTTTACTCGTATTGACTCGTGTGTCAATTTCTGCAGTTTCGTATCTGAGAACGTATTGTTCTCGTTATCTGAGAACGTATCGTTCTCGTTATCTGAGAACGTATTGTTCTCGTTATCTGAGAACGTATTGTTCTCGTATCTGATAACGTATTGTTCTCGTATCTGAGAACGTATTGTTCTCGATATCAGAACGTATTGTTTTCGTATCTGAGAACTTATTGTTCTCGCATATGAGAACGTATTGCTTTCGTATCTGAGAACGTATTGTTCTCGTTATCTGAGAACGTATTGTTCTCGTTATCTGAGAACGTATTGTTCTCGTTATCTGAGAACGTATTGTTCTCGTTATCTGAGAACATATTGTAACGGTTAAATATTGAGTGTAGGACCGTTGCCGTTCGCAATTCAAATAGCGCGGGGTTGTAGTTCACCGAGCGGCCACGCACTGCACCAGCGTCGCGACCCCTATATAAGCAGCACGGGACAAGGGCTAATCACTTACTTGAGCGCTGGGCGAATAGCTAGCTACATCTCTCCCTGGTAAGTGGAGTGGAGTATACATCGCGAAACCTTAGGTCGAGGGCGGAATAGCCCGGTAATAACCAGTGGTGGAATAACCCTGGAAGCGACGAACACTAGGGTTAGGCTGAGGGCGGAATAGCTCTCGGACCGCGTATTGCGAGACGATAGGTCGAGGGCGGAATAGCCCGGTAAATACACCAGTGGTGAAATAACCCTGGTAGCGTCGAAACCTAGGTGTTAGGCCGAGGGCGGAATAGCTCTCGGATCCGCGCATATCCGTCGCGAAGCCGTAGGTCGAGGCCAGTGGTGAAATAACTCTGGTGTCGTCGAATAGTAGGTGTTAGGCTGAGGGCGACAATCGAATCGGTTAATTGTAAGTATAATTGGTTTTAATTCTAAGAGTGAAACACGGTAAATCCATTAATTAGAAGTTTTTATTTTATTTTCGAAGTTAATATTTTAGTTTTATTTTGACCAGTGTTTCACTCACGGAATTAACGCCTAATTATTAATTTGTTTAAATTAGGGCCTAACCCGGGCAGTGATGAATGTGTCATTCACTGAAAGCTGATGCTTTAACGACCATATCTGAGCCCATATTTTAAAACTTAACTATTATTATTACTACTAACCCTGGACTAACTCAATTAAATTAGCTATCCGAGGCCGACAGTACAATTTTGTCCC